TTATAGTGCTAAGATTTTGAACGTTCAAATAAACGATATTTATTTATTTCTTCTTCAAATTAAATCTTTATTGCAATAATTTTGTGTTACTAACAAAAAAATTTAATTTAAAGTTTCTAAAATGTAAAATTTGTGTTTTTTTATTTTTATTGCAATCACAGGGCTCGGATTGTGTTTTTTAAAAATTAATGGAAAAAAAATGTTTATAAATTCTATTTGTCAATTAGAAATTGAAACTTTTAAAATTTTTAGAAAATTAAAGGAAAAAGTTTTAGTCAAAAAAATGATCTGATACATTTATTAACAAATTTCTTTCAAATTTTTCGAAAACATTAATAACTTCTTTTTTTAAATAAATATTTAATTATTATTTTTCCATAGGAAATAAAATTCTTCAAAAGATTCAAATTCAAACCTTTTTGAAATTAAACAACTTATAAAAAATTGTTATAAAACATGAAGACATCGATTGCTCAAATTGACCGAGTGATAAAATCATTATTTTATATTATAAGACTTTATAAAAAAAAAATTTTAATTATTTTTTATGAATATAATTGAATTATTGGGAAGAAATTTATATAAAACATTAGTAAGTAATTGAATTTTGCAGAAGAATTTTTATATTTACAAAGATAATTGAAATTTTGAGGAGAATTTTAAAAAAAAATTTTGAAAATAATTGAATTTCTGCGAAGAATTTTATTACTTTTGTAGATAATTGAATTTTGCAAAGAATTTTATCAGAACTTTTGAAAATAATTAAATTTCCAGGATGAATTGTATTATTTATGAAGATAAACAAAATTTTGACGAGAAATTTAAAAAAAATTTTGAAAATAATAGAATTTCTATAGGATGAATTTTTTTATTTATAAAGATAATTGAAATTTTTACAAGAATTTTATTATAATTTTTTTTCAGAAAAGAATTTTATTATTTATAAAGATAATTGAAATTTTGAACAGATTTTTTTAGAAAATGTTTAAAAGTAATTAAATTTTGCAGAAGAATTTTGATATTTAGAAAGATAATTGAAATTGTGAGGAAAATTTAGAAAAAAAATTTAGAAAATAATTGAATTTCTGCGAAGAATTGAAATTGAACTGATTTGAAATTGAATTCTTGCGGAGAATTTTATAAAAATCTTTTTAAATAATTGACTTTTTTTGAAAAATTTTACTGAAATTGTGTTTTAAATAATTCAATTCCCGCGTAAAAATTTTATTATTTATGAAAAGAATTGAAATCCTGCGATGAGTTTTATTATTTATAAAAATAATTGAATTCTAGCAAACAATTTTTATTAAAATTTTTTAAAATAATTAAATTTTTCGAGGAATTTATTTAAAATTGTATTAAAAATAATTGAATTCTTGCGAAGAATTTTATTAAAATTTTTTTTAAATAATCGAATTTAGGAGAAGAATTTTATTATTTATAAAAATAGTTTACATTTTAGAGAGAATTTAAAAAAAAATGTTAAAAATACCTAATTAAAATTTTGCTATGAATTTTATTAAATTTTATTCCTGCGATTGTTTAATATTAAAGTATGTGTCGTCGAGAAATGTGATATTTTTTTAAATATTTTTGACATTTTCGTCATTCCTTTTTGTCTTTTTTTCTAAAATTTCATTTGTCTTTTTTCCGATTTTTTAGGAAATTTATGATTGTGTGATTATAAAAATAAAAATCTTGAATTTAACATTTTTTTTATACGTGACGCAAAATTATTTTAATAAAATTTCAATTTGAAGAAGAAATAAATTAATTTCGTTCATTTGAACATTTTTCCTTGTAAAAAAATATAAATTTTATTTAATTGTCAATTATAAACTACAGCCATGTAAAAATTATTAATAAAAATGTAAAATAGAAGTAGAAAATAAAAAGAGAAAATTATTATTAAAAAATTAGAAAAGAGAATATTTTTGAAGAGAAAAAGAAAGAATAATTGAATTTCACGTAAAACCTGAACAAAGATTCTCGGTCCGAAATGAAATATTGTATAGAAAAGAGATCTATCCGAATAAAGCTGCCCACATTATGTAAAGAGGATCAAACTATAATGCTCTTATACGGCCCTAACTGAATATGAAATAAAAATCGCGTCGAGTTCAGTAACCGTGTTTATAATTAATTTAACTCTCAATTTATTTATAATTAGGTTGAAGCTTGCAATCAGTTACTCGGTTCCGTTCACCTTCCGCTTTATTCCCCCCGCGTCACCAAATATTGTTTCTTATTTAAATTTATTAAATATTCGACCAGGTTTTTTTTTCTTTTTTTATTTAGTTTCTCTAGGTATTTTCAAATTAATTTTTATCAACATGTGTATGTGTATATAAATATGTCAACTATGACACTTGAGTCTGATGGCCTTGACTTACTTTAAATCACTTTTGGAATAAAATTCCAAACAAATTTTATTCGAAAAATATTTGAAATTATTTCAGGCTTCACACTTATTTACTAAAATTTTATATTTTTCCTACTTTTTTACGATTTAATGCTATTTGAATATTTTTTAGATTTTTGACACGAAAAGAGATTTTTTTCTTTTTCGATAATTTGCATTATTTTAAATCCGCTAATAGTGGATATAAAAAAATTATTCTAGAAAATATTAATAAAATTCTTAAAAACAATTTAAAAAATTCAAAAAAAAAATGTTTGGCAATTCAATTAAATTAAGAATTCAATTAATTTTCAAAAATAATAAAATTCTTTGCAGGAATTCAAACAAAAATTCTTCAACTTTTGAATAATTTTATTTCGAAATTCGAAAATTCTAATATTTTCAAAAATTTTAATAACATTTTTGGAGAATATCATTTATAAAGAAATTCCTCGAAAAATGCAATTATTATTCTAGAAACTTTTATTAAAATTCGTTTGTTATAATTCAATTATTTTATTTTCCTCAAAAAATGCTAAAAATCACTGAAATTCCATTATTTTAAAAATTTTATTTAATAATTTTATTTAAAAATTAAAAAATTCAATTATTTAAAAAAAATTCCACCAAATTCCTTGAAAGAATTCAATTATTTTTATAAAATATAACATTTTTTGCAAGATTTCAATTATTTTTATAAAAAATAAAATCCTTCATTAGAATTCAATTTTTTTATAAAAAATAAAATTCTTCGCAAGGATTCAATTATTTTGAGCACAATTTTAAATAAATTCTTCAAAAAATGCAACTTTTTTTTGAAAATTTGATTAAAATTCTTTAATAGAGGAATTCACACTAAAAAATTTGGAAAATAATTGAATTTTAGAAAAATTTGAAACTGATGTTTTTAAAGCAGAATAAGAAAAAATGAGAATATTTCTTATCGAAATGAAAAATTCAATTCATATTTGCTTCAAATACTGAAATTATTAGTTGAAATACAAAATTATTTAATTGACTCAAATAAAAATTATTTGAATCAAGTAAATATTTAATTGACTCAAACAAAAATTATTCGAGTCAAGTAAATATTTAATTGTCTCAAACAAAAATTATTCGAGTCAAGTAAATATTTAATTTTCTCAAACAAAAATTATTTGAATCAAGTAAATATTTAATTGATAATAGTCAACTAATCACTTACTTAAATCAAATAATTTTTTTTCCAGTGTAGAATTAACTTTAAAAATTTCTAATAAGAAAATGAAAATATTAAGATTATTCCAAATTATTTTTTAATTTCTCAAAGAAGAAGAAGAAGAAGAATACCTATATAAAAAATTATTTGAATCAAGTAAATATTTATTTGATAATAGTCAACTAATTACTTAAATTTGAATCAAATAATTTTTTTTTCCAGTGTAGAATTAACTTAAAAAATTTCTAATAACATAATGAAAATATTAATATTATTCCAAATTATTTTTTAATTTTTCAAAGAAGAAGAAGAAGAAGAAGAATATATGAAAAAAAAACCCTCTCAGGCTCTTTCTATGAGACTTAACCTTGACCGCATTAAACACGTGTTTTTTTTTTTTTGTAGAAAGAAAAGCAATAAAAATAATTAGTGTTTATTTGCGAAAGAGAAAAAAAAATGGTGTCAATTATGTGTCTTTTTAAAAAATTCCGAAAAAATTTGTTATTGTTCCGAAAAGAGTAATTGTGTAGAGGAAAAATAAGTATAGGTGTGTATAGGAAATGTACAATTGGGAGAGAGGAAGAGAGGGAGAAAGAAAGAGAAAGAGAGAAGAAAGAGAGGGAGAGAGAGAAAGAAAGAAAGAGAGAGAAAGAAAGAGAGAGAAGGAATGATAAATAAAGAGAATGAGATGCACCCCGTTCGATTACAGCCCTGTATATGAGAGAGAAATCTAGGCAGGCAGACAGCATCCCCTATATTGATCTCGCTATTTTCTCTCTCTCTCTCTCTCTCCTTCTCCTTCGCTCCGTCCCGCCCTTTATCCTTCTCACTCCTTTATTCAGTTCAGTTACAGTCTCTCTTTATTCACCCTCTTTTCCTACTTTTTCCCTCTTTCTCTCTCTCTCTTTCTCTCTCTTGACACATTCAAACTTTTCCTCTACTTTCCCCTTTTTCTCCAATTTTCAAAATTTCAATTCTGTTTTTTTCCTTTTTCTCCAATTTTCAAAATTTCAATTCTGTTTTTTTTCCTTTTTTTCCAGTTTTGAAAATTTCAATTCTATTTTGATTTTTTTTCTTTTCCCCTTTTCTCCAATTTTGAAAATTTCAATTTTTCCTTTTTCTCCAAATTTGAAAATTTCAATTCTATTTTGTTTTTTTTTCTTTTCCCCTTTTCTCCAATTTTGAAAATTTCAATTCTATTTCGTTTTTTTTCCTTTCGCCTTTTTCTTCAATTTTGAAAATTTCAATTCTATTTTGTTTTTTTTTTTTTTTGAAAAAAAAAAACAAAATAGAATTGAAATTTTCAAAATTGGAGAAATTTTTTTTTTGGATCTGGAAAATTATCTAATTTCTATTTAAATTTTCCGGAATTATTATCTAATTTTGTTTCTTTGTTTACAGGAAGTTTGGCGACGATGGGCAAAGTTGGAGGCATTTTTCGAAATCGAAGAAAAAAGCCAAAGGTAAATTTATTTTTTGTTCTGGAAAGTTAGGAATTTTTGTTATCACCGGAATTATTATCTAATTTTGTTTTTTTTATTTATAGGGAGATTGGTGACTAAGGAGAGAGTTGGAGACTGGATTTTTGGATTTGATACCAGTCCCTTGGAGTAAAAAGTCAACTGTGAGCCGAGTTGCTGCCTAGCTCGATGGTTTCTCTGTCACTCGGTGGTGGATCGAGGATAAAGTGAAGAAGGAGAGGAGAGAGAATATTAGTCGAGGGTGGGAAAAAGCTCCTCTCGCTCTCTCTCTCGGATAGCCACCCTCTGCGCAACGGATCATCAACGCAACGTCCTCGTTGTTGTGTCGACGTGAATTATCCGCGAATATGTTGAGGATATGGACCAGTGGAGGCGAGGCTCGTTGAAGCCGCTTGACGAGTTTCGAAAGAGGCGACGACGAGGAAGAAGAAGAAGAAGAAGAGAAGCTGCATTAAAACACCGGGTCCACGGGCCGAGGGCGCTCTTTACCCAGGGTGAGCGTGATCGCAGGCGCGAAACGTAACCTTACTATAACTCGAACGAGAACGAAAAGTCGCGAGGACGAGCGCCGGAATATCCAGAGCCCGAGAGTAACCTGGGCGCGTACCAATCTGCAGTTCACACCCATTACTGAGAGAGAAACTCTTTTTTTTCTACCACAAAAAAAAAAAAATTATCTCTTTGGCAAATTCCAACAGCCAAGATAAAAAAATAATGGTGTTTAACGGGAGAATTTATTTTTGAAACAAGTGCCCAAAAAAAATATTTTTCTTGACAAGTTTGTGAATTTTCGAAATTAATAATTTAAACATGACTGAAATTTTTGATTCAATGCAATCAACACATTGGGAAAAATTATTGAGATGAGAAACATGTTTACAGTGCAACCGGTTAATCTGGAGTATTTGATCAATAAAATGAAGATAAGGATTTGAATTCTCTTCAATTAAAGAGGAAATTTATTCTCGAGTGTTGTGGAAATGTAGGGGGGCCCATGGCCAGGGCCCCAAAGTGGCCAATTTTTTTTTTTTCATGACCTATACGAGAGATGAAAAAGTACTTTTGCAGTAATTTAATATTCCTACTGTGAATAAAAGGAAAATAACTTTGACTGCGAGGGAAAAATAGAGAGAGAAAGAGAGAGAGAGAGAGGATGGTCATTGTTCGGTGAAAACAAAAAACCGTCCTCGAGGCAACACAAACGAGCGGGGGTTTAGATTCGTAAAATTATATTTAAAAAAAAAGAAGAAAAGAAGAGAAGTGCGCGATTGCCGGGTTGTTGTAGGTTTTTAGGAAGGGGGGAAAAATGAGGGAATGTTGAAAGAATAGAGTTTTATCTATAATATTTCAAAATAAACTGTTGCGAATGAAGGAGTTTTTAAATCATCATCGATAGTATTAAATAGTATATTATAATACAGCCTCAAGCAGAAATGGTCGATTTAGGAGGATACATCATCATTTTGATGAATCATAATGGAAAAATTAAACTTTATGGTGAGTTTCTTTTTTCTTTTTTATTTTTAATTAATTTTGTTTTTAACTTTTCAGATATTTTAAACCCTTCTCGTAGTAATTGTGAGGCTTATGATCAACAATTTTCAAGAAAAAATATTTTTCTTTACAAACTTTTTTCTGAAAAAGCTTTTTTCAAACTTTTCTGATTAATTTGTTTTTTGAAAAGAAAATTTTCTTTAACGTTTTCTGTAGGAAAAATTTTTTTCTTTCTAATCGTTGTCGACTTCATTGACGTATTTTTTAAATGGTCAAGGAATTTTTTTTTCCAATTCGAATAATACTTTTGTCGACTATTTTTCATATATTCTTAAAGTTCTGAACGTTAAAATTAAAGAAATTCTTTTACTTCTTCTTCAAAATAAATTTAGGTTTTTATATAATAAATAATAAATTATCGACAAGTTTTAAACGTTCAAATGAGGGAAATATTTTTTATTAAATTTTCTTTTAATAATTAACTGATTGCAACAAAAGTTAAAAACTGAAATTTTACATTTAGATTTTATAATTAATTTTAATATAGTGGGCAAAATTATTTTTAATTTTCATAAATTACTGATTGGAACAAAAGTTAAAAACTTTTAGAAATTTTGTAATTAATTTTTTTATAATGAGGCAAAATTATTTTATAAAAAAGACGATTTAGTTTTTGAAGAAGAAGAAAAAATTTCGTTCATTTGATAGTTCAGAACTTCAGGATTTTAATAATGATAATTTAAATTATTTATAAACAAAAATTACTGCTAAAGTTTCTAAATGTAAAATTTATGTTGTTTTTTCATTTCAATCGGTAATTTATGAAAATACTTTTGAAAAAAAAAAATATTTCGTTCAGTTGAAGGTTCAAAACTTGTGAATCATAAATTTTGAACTTACAAATGAGCGACTCTATTTTTGTTACTTCTTTAAATTTGTGTTTCATTATAAAAATAATTTTTTTAACTAAAGAATTAATTGTTATTTAAAGAAGAATTTAATTTACATTATATTTTCCTTTTTCTTACTGTAATTTTTGAAAGAAAATCTAAATAGAAATAAATTTTGTTTATTTGAACAATCAAAACTTTAGTGATATTATTTTTGCTAATATTTCGTAAATTTTTTGTAATTATTATATTCTTTAAATACTAAAATAAAATAATAATATTAATATGTTAAAAGTCAATATTAATATTAATACTAATAGTAATTATTAAACAAAAGTGAGTTATATTAAAATAGATATTTAATTAAATTATTAAAAAAAGTAAGAAAATTAAACAAAAGCAACAGTAATTTTGAGAATAAAAATTAAATTTGTTATTCCGAAATTAAATTATTAGTTCTATAAAAATGAATATTAGCAGAATCGAGGTCATTGAAGTTTACAACGCTCACAATCAACGATTGAAGAAAAAACTAATTTTTACACGCAGAAAATAATAAAATTCTTCGCCTTACAAATTTTTTTGTTTTTTTGTTTAAAATAGTTGATCAGAAAATTTTTTTTACAAATTTTCCAAGCAAAAATATCTAAAAATTTGCTTTAAAAACATTTTTTCTTCAAATTTATTGATTTTAATAAAAATTGAAAACTTAAATTTAACATTTAGAATTTTTTTTTATCACGTGACGCAATATTATTGCAATAAAATTTTAATTTGATAAAGAAAAAAAAATTAATTTCGTTCATTTCAACGTTCAGAACTTTGAGGGCATTAGAACTGATGAATTCGATTTTTTTAAATTTCGTTAAATTTAAATTTTGTTAGAGAATATTTTTTTAATTTAGAAAATTAATTACTTTCTGTAAATATAGAATTTATTTTGTTTTTAATTCTGTTCTAGTAATTTTTGAAAATATTTAAATAGATATAAATATTCGTTCATTTTGACGTTATAAATTTACAATAATATTTATTATATAAATTTTGTGTGTGATAGTTCATAAAAAATATTTTTTTTTACACTAAAAAATATGATTTTCAACTGAGAAAATATTTAATTGACTTTGTTTTTAATTTTTCAAATATTTATTTATTGATATAGTAATTTTTTGGAAAATATTTAAGCAGAAAAAAATGTTTGTCCCTTATTTTTTGTTGTTATATAAAAAAAATTTCATGATAAAATTTAGTAATTATTATTTGTTTTTTTTTATAAAAAATATTATTTTTAAAATCGAGACTTGTCCATTGAAATGTTGGATATATTCGAAATGAAAACCAACCTTTGGATTAAACTTTAACGACTTGGAGAGAAAAGGCATAAACTTTTCTAATTTCCTGCGATTTTATTGAAATTCATAGTATGACATGTGAACTGCTCGAGAACTATCGACGTTGAATGTCAATTCAAACCTTTCAAAATGTATTTTAATCTAAAAATGACTAACTCAAATATGAAATTTGACTTGCCTTGGAAATTCAAATGATTCTCGAGACTTAAATATTTAAATTATGAAAATTAGTCCTTTTTTTAACAATAATAATATTAGAGCATATTTTGAAAATTTTAATCAAATATTTATTTTCTAAATTCTTCGACAATCTCTTTTTCTCTCTTCAATCTTTTTTTGAATTTCAATTAATTATTATAAAAAATAATTGCGTTTTTGTACAGTTAAAAATTTAATTTTAGTAAATATTCGAATATTTTATTTTTTCTCTGGCATTTCAGTTTTATTTATGAAAATATTTTGAAGGAATATTAAAATCGTTTATATTTGAAAGTGAAAAACTTTGGGGTAATCAAATTATTTTTTATTAATTTATTTTAACAAATTCAATTTCAATGAGCGAATTTTTTTATTTTTGTTCATTTCCCTGAAGTTTTGAAAGTTTGAATAAAACAAATTTTTTTTCCTGTATTAAATATTTTCCAAAATTACTCTACTTTAGTAAAAAAATACCTAATGTAAAATGAACTTTTCCTTAGAGTTCAAATTTTCTTTTCTAATTTAAAAAATAATTTTTTATCGAAAAACACAAATTAACAGAAGTAATAAAAATATCGTCGTAGCTTGAAGAATAATAATAATTATTTTTGTTTTGTATTTTTCAATTTATTTATTTACGTATTTCTTTTATTTATAGAGGGAACAATTTATGTCCGGACAATTATTATTATTAATAATAAAAAAAGAAGTAAATTAAATTTTCTGTTTCTATTTAAAAAGCAATTTTTCATAATTAAATTGAAGTGAAAAAAAATTTTCATTTGAATAATTTTCTCAAAAGACATTTTAATTTTACATCGTTTATAACCGATTGAACTTGAACATGAAGCGAGTGGTGGTTGGTTTTTATTTTGCGGTGATTAATTAAAAACATCCATAGTCAAAAGAAATACGCAAATGAATATCAAGAAAAACACTGGTTGCAATTCAACTGCGAGAATTGTACAAGCAGCGTAACTTCAACTATTGCTTCAGAGAGTTGAATCCGTGGGGCAAAAAAAAAGTGCATCTTTCTTGCTGATACAACAAAAAACTTCTTCTCGCAGTTGAATTTTAATGCCAAAGAAATATTTAAATTATATGAATATTTATTCTTGGGAAAATATATGCGCGAAAAAATCCCTTCTTTTCAAGTGAACTAAATGATTTTCAATTTTTTAATTAAATAAAATCAACTGAATGCGGTGGTATAATTTTTGTCTTGCTTATTGATGTTTTCTTAGTTTTAATTTATTTTATATTCAATCATAAAATATTTTTGCTTTTTTTGATTTTTAATTAATTTTAATTAATTTCAAACAAAATTTTTAATCGTTCTTTATAATTTTTACTTTTATTAGATTTAATTAATTAATTAATTAATTCAAGGAAAAAAGTTTTATTAAATGAAATGAAATTAATTTCATCAATATAAATGAATTATTAATTATTTTAATACAATAATAATAATTTTAATTTCTTTTTAATTCATTAATTTCATTTCATTCGATTCATTTATAAGAAATAAATAATAGTATTTTAAATCATAAATATTAATAATATAATAAATAAATAAAACTGATAAAAATAATAATGATAGTATAAATATTAAAAAAAAGGTGAATAAATAAAAGTAGAGACGAAAATAATTTTTCCTCTGGTGGAATATTTTTTTAAAACAGATTAATTAATTTTTATATTTGAATAATATTAACGTATACATTGTTTCATGCCTTTCGGTTTTCAGTGAGAATTTGAATAATGAAATTATTAATTTAACTCTCTTTTATACTTTTAAACAATTATTTCGTAAATATTAATTTCACGGTAGCGAGAAAATCGAAATATTTTCTTTTTAAAAAAAACCTTTTAATTGGAAAAATGAAAAAAAATTTAGATCTTGTAAAATTTTTATAATGAAATTTTTCATTTACAATAATATTTCTTATTTTCAAAAAAATTGAATATTCATTGTTTTTTTCTTTTTTTCAAACATTATTATCAAATAAAAGGATAATTCATAAAGAACGATGAGATAACTCGTGGAATATTGGATTTTAATTATTAGAAATTAAAAACTTTTCAGTTAGTTTGTGAAAACTCGATTCCCAAGCTTCACATTTATGTTAGTTTTTTCTAGTTTGATAAAGTAACTCAATTACAAGTTCCACAAACCACACAGAGGGGTATACACTACATGGGCAATATTTTAACGTTTATTTTGCTTTATTATCTCTCGCAGAGATTTAACAACTGCAATATATAGAATCAATACGTGTTATTAAATTTCGTGTAGCATTACTTTTGTGAAAATTGTTGTGTTGTTTTATTGAAATATGTATAAATTTTTTGAAAAGCCAGATTTTCTGGAATTTTTTTTTTTTTTCTTTTTTTGAACAAAAAAGTAGATTTTTTTTTCAATAATCTGTCATTTGATCCACTAGTTCTGAATACTTTGAAATGAATGAAATATAAAAATTTTCGAAATTTACTGAATGAAGGAAAAAGCAAAAAGGAAATTTAATATTCGGAATAATTATTAATTTTTTTAGGGATCACAGAA